CTGAGCATTGATTGCTTCCCCAGGAGGGAAGGATTAACTCAGCCCCATGGACAATCGACTTCTGCCCTACTATACTGAACCACCAATGATCAGTCCCTACAAAGCAAGATTTCCGGCGGGGATATAGCAGGGCAAAGCAATCAAGCACATTCCAGGTCGCAGTCACAAACGCTAATTGAATATGACCCACAGTAAATGAACTCAAACCTTATCAAGGGAGGAAGAATTCAGCAATCAAGGGAAATCAACACTCATGAAAGGGAGGGGGAGAGAGAACAAACATGGTGACCACAGGCACCGCCTCCCAACCCCTTGCTACAGCCTCTCATCCCCCCCCCAATCCCACGGGAACAACTCATCAGCACGCCACCCCACAACGCCTCGCCAGGTCGGCATCTTCCCATGCACAGCAAAACTTTCGAGAAAGAACCCTCGGATACCCTTCAACCCCAGCAGGCCACCCTCCGGCCCTACCAGAGTCTCCCACAAAGAGAGGATTGAAAGAGACTGAGTAGCACTCACCATAGTGGTTGTCGCATGGATAGATGTTGTTGGAAGTTAAATTTCAGATGTCATCGTTAATAGCACCGTTGTTGTCGTTGGATTGATCGTTGATGTTGAAGATGTCTTCGTTATGAGCGCTGTTGATATAGATGAAGAAGTTATCGTTGTCGTTGGTGTATTTGGAATCTTTTGGATTGATCGTTGACGTTGAAGATGTCTTCGTCATGAGTGCTGTTGATATAGATGAAGAAATTATTGTTGTTGTTGATGTTGAATTAATTTTGCTGTATTTGCTGTCGATGCCTTCGTCATATCCACTGTCAGCGCCGATGAAACTGTTGTGTGAACTGCCGATGAATTGAATGTCGATACATCCCCCTCTACCGGCAGTCGTGTTGGCCTTGCTGTCAACGCTCGTTCATTAGCCTCTCCAGCCTGTCGCATTGCCAACTCAGCAGACAATTTATCCCCCTGAGTTCATAGAGCTCATAGCATTGATGCATGAACCCGTCCGCCTTCTGCCAGTCAAGGAGATGTTCCCAAATTGAATGCTGATCAGGTCCGTCCTCTAATTCCCAAAGTACCTCCATCATTTGTCGTAGCATGCCCTCCCTCCATGTAGTCATTGAGATCGCCCCCCGATCGACCCCTGACCAATCTTGGGCTGTCGAAGATAGAAGAAGCACCATCTCCTGCAAACGGCGCCGGCCATCCTGCAGAACCAAAAGCCAAGTGTCTGCAGCATGTTGTAGATCTCCGTAAAAACCCATCTCCATCCCCAGTCGCCGCTGGCTTGTTCAGCTTTGTTATCTTCACTCCCGTTTGTAGCGCAAGGACGCCCTCCGTTCGTTGACCGCTCGGCACGGTGCACCGGGCGTATCGCCACCCTCTTCCCTTCCCCCTATCCCCACCCTTTACGACATATCTCGCCGCCACTATCGCCGAGTTCCTCCCGTTCTCAACCTCTATCGGCAATGGCACCCACCTCTCTCCCCGGCCTTGTTGACCTACCACTCTCCGCGGTGATGACATCAACGTCGTCCGTCCGCCTCTGTACCACCGAGGTTTTGGGTACCTTGACCGCCGGGCCCGCCGGCCGGTAAGCTCCCCACGCGCTCGCGCTACTCCTTAATCTTATGTGCAAGTTAACCCTAACCTATCAGTATTCAATCCTACGTAAACATCCAACCGGGAAACGGGTCCGGCGTCCCTCACAAAGGCCGCCCGTTAGCCCCGGTCACAGTCAGCAATGAAAACTTAAAAAATCAGCAAACTCAAAACACAAAAGCACAGACAAATTCAATGTCCGTAGGTTATACTACCCTTCACATCACATATACAGACTCAGTGAGATCCTATTTATCATTTTGTCCTAACCTTCTTCTTACTGTTGGATTACACTTTTGTCGTCTTGTGGAAAAGTTCTGGCCATCCATATTTCCTAAGGAAAAAAAAATAAAAAAAAATAAAAAATAAAAAAATTCAAAAAAAAGAAAAAGAAAGAGAAAAGAAAATAGCTCCTTTTTTTT